TAGTTGAGGTATACCTATGATGAAAATTACAGGCCTCTCTCATCTTTTTAAGTGGGAGAACTTGCACAATTGGTGGCTGACTAAATACTTTTTTGCCCCACTGTATGTGACTTGGGACAAGAATATTTTTCTATACTAATCTGCCTTGAACTTTGGAATATACTGCTAGAGGTGACCAGATGAGTTTCATTTTTTACTATCCTTTTGTTGGCTTCTCTATTTTCAGCTGATACGCTATTATGAGACCATTTAGTCAGCCTCCCGTTATGTTGACTGCATAGCAGGTAAATCTCAGCCTTCTGGTATTCTATACCTGGATAGTCCTTGGCCTCCTGGCCAGTACATTGCCCAATAGGGCTCCCCATAAGGCCACAAAGCAGCTTTGTCATGCCAAAACCTGCAGTTAGGGGTCAGAAGACGTAACTTTATCTCTGGGGTCAGGCTCCCAGTGTCAATGATTTCAGTATTCTCCTCTAGAAACATTCTCAACTCAGGATCTAGAGGTCTTCCTGAAGTTCTTCCATGGCAGCACCTCCAAACCAAACAGTCTCTCTGCTTCTGCTTGAAGTCTTTTCTGAAACTGGTCCTACCACAAAAATGCAGCAATCTTCTCCAGCCTAGGAAAATCATGTGTCCTTTTCCCGCTAGGCCAATGTCTTCCCAACTTCAGTACAGAATATTTGCCTGGAGCATGTCAAGACTCTCAAACGTTAGACTGGGAGTAAGGAGATCTCTCAGTTCTGTCTTTCAGAACAAGCAGGCAACTCTTTCTGAAAACAAAAGAGCAGATGTTTTTACTACACAGATTGTCACAGGTTAATTGCCTAAATGAGAACTAAGGCAGGCTGTGCTTTTGTATACAAATTGTATTGTTTTTCACTGATATTGCTATTCTTTTACTTAAATAACTCCTCTCTGAATTGTTTTATGAACATGGATGGGGGCTTCTGTTAAGGCCAGTAATCCACCCTGTCTAGCCTCTTCTGAATGGTGGAACATTTTTGAACTTTGAATCTCTTACTTGTAAAACCCATGTTCCATCACTGACCTTGTTATGATTTATATAAAACAAACTTTTGTCAGACTTCTTCCTGATTTCAGATGCAAATTGTTGTCCAGTTTTCTCCCAACAGGGCCTCTTTTCACTATAATACCACTACAGATAATTATGTCTTGTACAGTATGTATCTTATATATGCTTTATTTGTGTCAGAGTCAAGTATTAGGTTTTTTGGTTCAAAGGCCACATGAAACGCTTGTTGAAGGGGGGCATGGAGAAAGCAAATATTGTCAAATAAAAAGTGTGCATCTCTAGAACAAAAAAAGAAAAATCTTTTCTAAATCCTATCCCATTTATTTTTAGTTCCTTAGCTCCCCCTCCCCGCTTGGGGTTCTCTTACCTTAGAAGATAAAATATCCTTCAAATCAGGCTTGATACCTAATAACTACATGGACATGTCTATGTTGTTTTCTTGGCAGCAATACAGAATTCTAAGGGGTTTTTTTCAACTTCCTAATTTAATTTATAGCTCTGAAATTTCCTGGTGATTTCTAATCCAAGTATTAATTGGAAAATTATTAAGCTTTCCCAAGATCAGCTAGATGTAGTGAGGGTGGTTTCACCTGAAGTTTGGAAAAGAGGTATTGCATAGTAGTATGTACCTCTTTCCTTTAGGTGCATAGTACATAAAATTCTATATTCCCATGTAATGGTTGAGAATGTAATACAGAATTAAGCTAGCATTTATTTTAGACTTGAAAGAGTTAGAGTCTATTTTGTCCTTGGTATGGAACACCTGTGTAGAAGGGGATGATCTTTCATCTTCAATACAAACCACTAGTATAAACAAATACTCCTTAACCTTGGATGGTCTTATCCTGGCAGGAGTAGCCCAAGCATTCCAAGAAGAAGATAAGATAAACTTATCCTCCTTGTCCTTGGCAAAATCAAGTAAGGCAAAGTTATTAAAAACAGATGTGATTAATTATGGAGTCTATATAACTGGTTGGAAATCCTCATAAGGTGGAACTTTAATGCAGATATAATTGGGAAGGTGCTACATATTTACCAACTATGGGGGGGGGGTCTGCTCACCACCATTTCTTTGGGTTCTCTGACTGGCAGAAAGGGCATAAAGTCTTTTTTTTATTATTTCTTCTTTAGAATTTCTGGTTGTTATTATACTTTTTTGTCATACTGCCTTGGAATAAAGCCTTAAGTACTTATACTGGGGTGGTCACGTTTCTAAATCTAAAAGTACTTGTAACTCTGCTGGGCCGGGGGACAGAGCAATACACTAGATGCAGTCATCTTCACCCACTATACACACTTCTAACTTTATTATTTTTTTACATTCTTACTAAAAATTGTAAGTACCCACTTCTGCCCTAGGGTATTGGTAGCAAAAGATATGAGAACCACCTAGGTTTTGCACCCATGATCAAGTTTCCTACCTTGTCACAGCAACTGGACAAGAAAGAATTAAATAAGTAACTTTCAGTTATGTGGCAATATAGTATTGAGATAGGCTGTGTCCAATTAAGTATGCTCATGATAGGAAAGGTACCCCCCCAAAACAGGGTAACCAGTCTACACAGCAATCTATCTGGGACTTAACATAGTAGGGACAAGGGACTAAAAAATTTAGGTTAACCAGATCCGTCTACTAAACAGCAAAAATGCCTCTCTTACTACTACAAAATATTCTCTTTGGATCAAAGACATTCCTAATGTTGCCAGCTTTTCAATCAGCCTCTGTTTCAGTACATCCATTATTAGTGTGGTCTGCAAGAATTACAGCCACAATTGTTTGGCTGAACATTATGGGGCCTGTAGGCCAAGACATCTACCAACCAATTGACAGGGGGAATGGGGCAGCACTTTTATCTATCAAGGCAGCATGACCCAGCTCTCTGGAAAAGGCTCTAATGCTGGGAAAGGTGGAAGGAAAGAGAAGAAGAGGACAACTAGCAGCATGGTGGATGGACTCAGTTACAGAAGCGCTGGAGCAGTGGAGGAGCTGAAGGACAAAGGTAGGGATAGAACATCATGGAGAATATCTATGTGGTCGCTAGGAGTCAAAAACTACTTGACAGCACATAAGAATCAAGCATTTCCCACAGTTATGGATGTGCACCAACCTACATTCATATTTTTACTTCCAGAATTCACCAGATACAGCCACCCTTGAAAGAAGCAGGGTTAAACTGCAGATTGTACCCAGTTGTAAATGTGAATTAGCTTCTCAAGGTTCTACAAGACCTCTTTCTCTTTGGGTTGAAGCAGCTGCCTTTCCAAACGACCAGAATGAGGACAAAACGGGATTAACACATTATGTCCCATTCAGTTTGAATTCTGCTGCTGTCTCTGTGTACGTTATGAGCTGCTTGGGGGTGTTGACAGAACATCCTGTGCATTAAACTCACCTGCAAAATTCAAACCCACAGTACATTAGGCAAATAATCTCTAACTCCTCATCCTTGCTAACATCCAGCTTTCTTTCCCTTGCCAAAAGAGGGAAAAATATTTAAAAGGGGAAAAAAAGTTGTTTTTTTTTAAAAGGTGAATTCGAAGACTAAGAAAAAAGGCCTGGAGCGACAGCGAGTACAAATGTTGCTTCCTCCTTTATGCATTACAAATGCATTCAAATAATTTGAACAAAAAAAGGGCGGGGGTTGCACTAGCAAGACTATATCCCCTCCCCTCCGCTAACAATCCCAGTTCCTGCAATTTCGAGGAATAAAATATGAGCTTATAATTTACCTTGATTAATTCTGAGATCGGCTAAACGCAGCAGGAATTAGGAAAGATCGCGATTCCTCCCTCGCTGTGTGAGCTGTTCTGTGTTTCTCAAGCCTGGCAACTTGAAGTTGGGTGGACTTCAACTCCCAGAATTCCCCAGCCAGCCATGCTGGCTGGGGAATTCTGGGAGTTGAAGTCCACCCAACTTCAAGTTGCCGGGTTTAAATTGCTGGGCTTGAGAAACGCTTAGATGAGGAAGATAACCGGAGGCCGGTTCTCCATTTAAGAGCCGCCTTCCGCGGAAATACGGACAAAGCGGCTTCAAACATCCCTCCGCCCCATGGTCAATGGGGAACCGGAAGTGTTAGGTCTGTGTCGCTACTGGCTCCTCTTCGTCGCGCGTCCCTGATTCGACCCGCCTATTTCCTTCCACGCGGTCTTCCCTCTTGGGCGTCCTGCAAAGGGGTGGGATGATAGCTCCCATCGTTCCCAGCCAGCGGGCTTATATGTCGTGCTGGCGGAAGGAGTATGGGCCAGTTGAGGGTGGCAAGCGCTGCGTTGGCGAAGACGGAGCTTTTTGCTAGATTTTTTGTAGCCGTTCTTTAAGCAGCACCCTCTTGAATATTCAGTATTTTTGCATGTCTTTTCCCGCACGGAAATGCGTAGCTTTGGATTATTTTCCTCAATCCATCATGAACAAGTATAATGTGATTGGCTCATTTCCTTAACTGGATTCTCTTTATCTAGTTTTAGGGCTTGGGTGGAGAACGGATCGCTTTTTAGGTCATACTGATAAATATTGAAAACTAAAAAGGGGTCACAAACTGTTAAGCACCGCTGTAGCTAGGCTGGGTTCCCAGCAGCTGCTACCCTGTGGTTTGCTCAATCAATAGTTTCGTCAATAAGCACAAATCAAGTAGGCAGGATTCATGCAATAAACTAAACCATAAACCTTAGTTTGCAACCCCCTTTGGCTGGAGTCACCGACGGTGCTGGGCTAAAGGCTTTGTGCAAGCGATCGATGTCCTGCTGTCACACTGCCAAGATTACTCAATTAATGCCGTTGGATAGAAATTGTTCCTGCATGCTGTTACGGCTATCCTTGATAATTATGCAGTAATGTTACCAAAGCTTGTTGAAACCACACAACAATGTGGCTTTTACTCTGGTTACCATTAACTTGGAGCAAGTCTAATTTGCTACTTTAGGGCTCTACTAAATCTGTAGCTTTCTGAAAGGGATTAGGATTTATAATTTGTACGGACCCTTGTACTTGAGTTTATAATTAACAATAAGCTTAAGGAATTGAATTGACTTTATATCATCTCTAGTTAATTTTTTCTGATTGTTTTCTTATCTTCATTTTCATGTTTTCCCTTTTTATTGTGCTGCTATAAATGTTAATACACTGTGTTGTTTCCACACATTGATGTTTGTATAATATGTTTAAAAGCTGTTAACATTCTATTTTTTAAATAGATTAGAATATTGAAAAGAGAAAAGAGAAAGAAAAAACGTTCTATCAATGTTAATTACAATTTAGAAATGGCAGTGTTAGAAGCATAAAATTATTTAGCTTTTTCATCCAAAGTTGAATACAACACTGAAAAAAACCCCATATAACTCACATCAAAATAATTGTTATATACTAGAGGTTTTGATCTTAAGCTGATTACTTATTAAAGCCTCCCTTGTATTGTTGCTTAGTGTGTGTCTGTGTCTGTGTGTATATATATCATACCTATTAAAGGAAAAAATAGATAAACAGAGCAAAGTTAACAAGAATTAATTACATAATAATAATAACAACAACAATAATAACTCAATAGGTGGATAAAAATGCCAAATCCAGTCTAAACGTCTGGCTGACTGTGTGAACAACGACAACAACAACAATAAGGACTAGTGGGACCACAGAACAGACGAAGTAATAGAAAAGGAAGAAGCTAAAGTGCTCTGGGACTTTAGGATTCAAACAGACAAGTACCTGCCACACAATACCCCAGACTTAACCATTGTTGATAAGAAAGACAAAAGAGTCTGGATAGTGGACACGGCAATACTGGAGACAGCAGAATAGAAGAGAAAGAACTGGAGGAAATCACAGC